CCCCAAAACCCCAAAACCCCAAAACCCCAAAACCCCTAAAGACTTCATTATAATAGGATTTTATAATAAATAAAATGGCTTCAAGGAGAAGATGACGTTGTTTTGATCATTGGTGCTGTTGTTGATGTCAGGCTATTTGAGACTTTACATTCATGCTTTGGGAATATATTTATTACGTTCTGTGCTGCTGTACAAACCCGAAACCAGGTAAGTCTCAAAGAATGGCTTTAGACAATTAATTCTTATTTTGTGTGCTGGTGGGAAATGGATTTGATTGAAATTTATAGAGGAAGGTGAGGAGGAATCAAATTCTGAAGGTACGGTTTAGAATGGTGGGTTGAGGTAGTTGGGTTATTTTGAAGTGAGTCTTATGTTGGATTAATTTCAGATAATGATCTTGAAGGTGATTTGTTAAGTGGATATCCCATTGAGCTTCAAAAATGAGATATGCAAATGGTGTATCAAGGTAGAGATATGATTAATTCTCATTCTAAAATCATTGCATGGTCTCTTTAATGGATTCTTTGCATATAAATTTTTCAGATTTCTGATTAAGACATAGAAAGCAAATTACTCAATGGAAATGATTCAGGTATTAAAAGAAAGAATAGGTAATCTCTTCTTATAAGAATGTTTTTAGCTGTCATTATTCAGATGAAGAAAGCCGTAAGGATTCTGGCCTAAATGTCTGCATATCTATGGGAAAACCTGAAAGAGAAATTAATAAGAAAAATTCATGCAAAAAATTATCTGATTTAATAGTTTTTGGATTTTAAGACGAGAAGTGATGAATTAGGCTAGTAAAAAGTAGTGAAATTTTATGATATTGAGCTTGAATTTTCTTAAAATTTTTTTGATGAAAATCTTCACATAATATCCACCAGCCATAATAAAAGATGGAAACTCTTAAAATAACTTACTTAGTTTGTCCAAAACTCCCTTCTCCTATCAAAAAAATCTTCTTTAGTTTTCTATTACATCTATTCCTGAAATGTCAATTTCAATTTCAATTTAATTTATTTTTAGATATTCCTGAATACAGGCAAGATTTGGCAAACTCATCTGGGCAGAATAATATACGCAAAAGAAAAATTGATAACAAGCAACCAGAAAAGCAAGCAGCTGCTCCACCAGGTAGAACTAACTTGAATGAAAAGAAAAAGAAAGAAGAAGAGAAGAGCAAGAAGAATGAAGAAGAACAAAAGAGTAAAGAAGAAAGTAAGAATTTTTTTTTAATTTATTAGCACTTAGTTTTTAAGTAGATCCTTGACAGCTTGCTACCATAATAATTAATCCTAACTCTTTTAGAAACTGCCTCCCAGAATGAAAAAATGAACTCTCTCATTCAGGAAATCACCAAATTAGACCCAGAATACAACCAAAACCCAAAAATCACCAATTTCTACTCAATCACAGATCCTAATCAACGCAAAGAAATCCTCTCTGAAGCCACCAAAACCCTAAAATCCTACCTCACCCAAAAACAAGCTCTCATCGCCGAATACAAAACCCTTGTACCTACCTACAGCTCTCTCTCCTCCAAACCTCTCTCCACTATCGACCATTTCTCCACTAAACCTCTTAAAGAAATGGCTCAAGAAGTTACTGACTGGCAAACAGAACTTACCAGGCTTCAGGAAATACTAAATGAGAGACAGCACGAATTGACTGTTATTTGTAGAGACATTAGAGAAATGAAGAGATTAATGGAGAGAGAAGATCATGAAGAAGATCATGAAGAAGAAAATGAAGGAGAAAGTGGAGATATGAAATGGGATGGAACTGTTGAAGAGATTAAGAGGGAAATTAAGAGGAAGTATGTGGAATTGGAGAAGGAGGTTGAGAAGGTAATAATAAAAACAAGGCCTGCTTCGATTGAGGAAATCACAGATAAATTAGAAATAGTAAGTATCTTCTCTATCCCCTAAAACTCCCCTTCACCACCCCTAACCCCCCTCTTATTCCTAACCTCTCCACAGTTCACCCTCAAGGACCCTCAGAGCCATGCTCCACTCCTGCCTCTATCTAACACCATCGCCAGGCTAAAAGCCTGTATGGATACCCTCACTGAGTCTGCTACAGAATTGATGGAAGAAGACTCCAAGTCAGAAGTTGCAAACCAGATCTTGGTCCTGACTGAAGGCCCCTTTTGTTGAACAGGTTAGTTGAGGTGGTTTATTGGTGCACTTTTCAGAATGATGTATTAATGTATAAAGTTCTTGAGATTCATAACAAGTACAATCTTCTTACATTTACTCTACCCTATTCACCTTAATTTCTAGTTGTATCAAACCTTTTATATTCTAACATTCTTTCTAGTCCTAAAGAATTTTGATCCAGCTTGTGAAGACTGGGTCATTAAGGTTGAAGGCCAACATTCCTTGAGACAGCATAGAGTCCTGCATGATCATTTAGAACAAGTACCTGAAGCAGTTATCAAGTTGTTGGAAGTGACAGGGCTAAAGGAAAAGAGCAACCTTAATCAAAGCAATGAGGATGAGAAAGAGATCGACAGTAAAGAAGAAAGTAAGGAAGAAACCAAAGAAGATATTGACGAAGATAAAGAAGAGGTTAAAGAAGAAAATAAAGAAGAGGCTAAGGAAGGAAGTAAAGAAGACATGAAACATGTAGAAAGTAGTTGATATAAATCTATTAAGCCATTTGAAATTACTTTTGAAAATTTTGATTTTTCAAATAATTATGAATGCTTAATCGAGCTACTCAAAACGTCTATACAAACCCAACTTTTAAAATTAGTTTTTGTCGAATGTTCTCTCCCAGAAATCCTAGAGGAATCAGTTAAACACCTCGAATTCATCACACCTGATAATAAAATGAGGCCTCTTTATGGAATTTCATTTGATGCATGAACATTCCCAAATCCACCAGAGCTAAAAGACCCATCAATCCTTGAAAAAGACCCCCAAAATATTGACAAAGCAGACCAAATAGGCCTCTTACTCAACATCGAAGGGCTGCCTTCAGCCAAATACCTCGGAGAGCCTCCCTCAGAAATCAACGGAGGCATCAGCAGCATTGCTTTGAAGAACAATGGTTTCACAGAAGTAGAAATGGCTAAACTCAAAGTTTACTTGTGCTATGCTGAACACTTAATTATTTATGAACAAGAATAGGGAGGATGACTACTTTACGAGTAATTTCAATTGTGAGTCAGAGGAGTGGGGTTTTGGGGTTTTGGGGTTTTGGGGTTTTGGGG